CAGGGTCCCAAGCTGTCTCCAGGCTTCTGTGTCCCATCAGGAAAGTGAGTGGCAGCTGGGTCCCAGCTTGGCTCACTAGGTCATGGCCCCCATTGGCTCAAGAAAGGAGAAGGGTCCCCCAGCAGCCAGCAGGGGGCATACCACCACTACATTGTTACTAAGAAGGCCTGGAGTTGGGCGCAGTGGATCACGGGTCAAGAGATCGAGTACATCCTGGCCAACATGGTAAAACCCTGTCTCTACTAATAATACAAAAACTAGCTAGGTGTTTGGCATACGCCTGCAGTCCCAGCTACTCAGGAGGCTGAGGCAGAAGAATCGCTTGAACCCGGGAGGTGGAGGTGAGCCGAGACTGCCACTGCGCTCCAGCCTTGGTGACACAGCAAGACTCCGTCTCAAAAAAAAAAGAAAAAGAGGGTCCTGCATTGTCCCTTGCTGCCAGCGGGGGGCGCGGATACAGCACCGTGAGCAAGAGGGCCCTGCAGTGCCTGGGCGCCAGCAGGGGGCGCCCGAAGCCATCTTCTCAGATTCCTGAACTCCCACGCCGGTGTGCGTGCGTCGCATTGCGTCGCAGGGCTGGCGTGTGTGCATAAGTTGCGTCGCATCGCGGCGGCGGCGTGCCTGTGTGCCTCGCGTCGTGTATTGTGTCACGTCGCAGCGCTACCATGCGTGTGTGCATCGCAACGCAGCGCCGGCATGCATGTGTCCCTTTCTCTTTAGTACACATGTTGGGGGCACTGCGTGCAGGCGGAGCTGCGTCTTCCTCAGCATAGACCCTAGGATGGAGGGGTTGGGGGCACTGCGGTGGTGGAGCTGCGTTTTCCTCAGCACTGACCTGGGGACACCACCTTGCTTTGGGACAACTCCGGGCTGTGTCCACGGTGAGTAAAATTTTTCCTGTTTGCAGTCCCGACTGCTAGTCACAGAGACTGGTAAGAAGGTCTCGGTGTTGAAAACTGGACATCAAAAGCCACTGAGTCCTGCGCACCTCGTTCTCCCCACACAAGGCCAGGCGGCCGCAGTAAGCAGCCTCAGAACACAAATGGAGCATTCCTAAGGCAGATATGACATCTGAAATACGATCACAACGCCCACAGTGCTCCTGTAGAAAACAGCTGTAATGTTCATGCAGTGCCTCAGTATGAAAAATGTTAATATAAAATCTGGCTACCTTTGCAGCCCTGCCAATACAGCACTTTTAATGATGCTGACGTGTCAGTGCAAACTTAGAAATGTACAGTTAGGGTTAGAGTTAGGGGTTATGGGTTAAGGTTTAGGGTTAGAAGAATTTTAGGCAAAATAAAGTTTAACAGTTTGAACAAAGGAAAGGTTCATGAACTATGCCTGAAGCACCAGAACAGAAAACAGGGCTTGGGGCTTTGAGCTCCAAGTGGTGGCAGCTAAATGAGGCTTCTCATTGGGTCCAGCTAGTCAACTGCCTTCAGCGTTTCTAGTCATACAGCCAGCTGGAGGCTGGGGTTTTGTCATTGACTGTGGTTGGTTTGTTAATTTTTTAAAGTCAGTTTAAATGCCTCCAAGGTTGGTATCCATTTGCTTAGGCAAGACCTCAGGCTAACGGCCTCCTTTTTTTGCTTTAACATGTCAAAACCTTAATTCATTTTAATTTTACTTTCTGGCATTAATAGAAGTAAATTGACATTTTTGTTTTTAGGGTCAGGGTCAGGGTCAGGGGTTAGGAGTTAGGGGTTGGGGATTGGGGATTTGGGTTTGGGGTTTGGGGTTAGGGTTAAGGGTTAAGGGTTAGGGTTAGAGTTTTTGGTTTAGGGTTGCTTGAGCTGAACACAGGAGTTCTCTGTGACCCTTCTGGACTATTCCGCCTTCACTGACAAGGGAAGAATAAGGTGTACACACTTGGGCTTCAGATTTGTATGGAGACAAAATTTATTAGAACAAGAAGCAAAAAGCAAAAGTGGAGGGGAGCGGCGTGGGAAAGAACCACATGTTGACATTGCACCGAACACTTAAAAACTCTCCTGTTTTTCTTCTTCATCTCTAGTCATGAAAGTGGCAGATTTCTTTAATCATCTATTTCTGATCTCTTTACAGTCTCAGGGAATGTAAGGGGTGAGTAGACTTCCTCTGAAGCCAGAGTTGGGGTATGCCAGTGTGTGGTGACCACATTTGTCTTCTTGTGGCTATTGAGATGAGTTTTGTTACTAATGACTTATCCTCCCTGCAGACATAGGGCTTCTCTCCTGTGTGTGTCCTCTGGTGACTGAGGAGAGTTGACTTCTGGCTAAAACCCCACCCACATTCCCTGCAGTCACAGGGCTTCTCCCCTGTGTGTGTCCTCTGGTGACTGAGGAGGGTTGACTTATGGCTAAAGCCCCGCCCACACTCCCTGCAGACATAGAGCTGCTCCCCTGTGTGTGTCCTCTGGTGATGGAGGAGGTGTGACTTAAAGCTAAAGCCCCGCCCACACTCCCTGCAGACATAGGGCTTCTTCCCTGTGTGTGTCCTCTGTTATCTAAGTTGGAGGGTTGACTTCTGGCTAAATCCATGCCCACACTCCCTGCAGACATAGGGCTTCTACACTGTGTGTGTCCTCTGGTGACTGAGGACATGTGACTTATGGCTAAAGCCCCGCTCACACTTTCTATACACATAGGGCTTCTCCCCCATGTGTGTCCTCTGGTGTCTGAGGTGGGTTGACTTAAAGCTAAAGCCCCGACCACACTCCCTGCAGACATAGGGCTTCTTCCCTGTGTGTGTCCTCTGGTGTCTAAGGAGCGTTGACTTCTGGCTAAAGCCCCGAACACACTCCCTGCAGACATAGGGCTTTTCCCCCATGTGTGTTCTCTGGTGACTGAGGAGGTTTGATTTCTGGCTAAAGCCTCGCCCACATTCCCTGCAGACATAGGGCTTCTCCCCTGTGTGTGTCCTCTGGTGATTGAGGAGGGTTGACTTCTGGCTAAAGACCCACCCACACTCCCTGCAGACATAGGGATTCTCCCCTGTGTGGGTTCTCTGGTGACTGAGGAGGTGTGACTTAGAGCTAAAGCCCTGCACACACTCCCTGCAGACATAGGGCTTCTCCCCTGTGTGTGTCCTCTGTTATCCAAGGAGGGTTGACTTCTGGCTAAATCCACGCCCACACTCCGTGCAGACATAGGGCTTCTCCCTGGTGTTTGTCCTCTGGTGTCTAAGTAGGGTTGGCTTCTAGTTAAAGCCCCGTACACACTCCCTGCAGACATAGGGCTTCTCCCATGTGTGTGTCCTCTGGTGACTGAGGACATGTGACTTATGGCTAAAGCCCCGCTCAAACTTTCTACAGACATAGGGCTTCTCCCCCGTGTGTGTCCTCTGGTGTCTGAGGTGGGTTGACTTAAAGCTAAAGCCCCGACCACACTCCCTGCAGACATAGGGCTTCTCCCCTGTGTGTGTCCTCTGGTGACTGAGGAGGTTTGATTTCTGGCTAAAGCCTCGCCCACATTCCCTGCAGACATAGGGCTTCTCCCCTGTGTGTGTCCTCTGGTGATTGAGGAGGGTTGACTTCTGGCTAAAGACCCACCCACACTCCCTGCAGACATAGGGCTTCTCCCCTGTGTGTGTCCTCTGGTGTCTAAGGAGGGTTGACTTCTAGTTAAAGCCCCGCCAACACTCCCTGCAGACATAGGGCTTCTACCCTGTATTTCCCATCTGGTGACTGAGGACATGTAACTTACGGCTAAAGCCCCGCTCACACTTTCTACAGACACAGGGCTTCTCCCCCGTGTGTGTCCTCTGGTGTCTGAGGTGGGTTGACTTAAAGCTAAAGCCCCGACCACACTCCCTGCAGACATAGGGCTTCTCCCCTGTGTGTGTCCTCTGGTGTCTGAGGAGGGTTGATTTCTGGCTAAAGCCCCACCCACACTCCCTGCAGACATAGGGCTTCTACCCTGTGTGTCCCCTCTGGTGACTGAGGACATGTGACTTAAGTCTAAAGCCCCGCTCACACTTTATACAGACATAGGGCTTCTCCCTCATGTGTGTCCTCTGGTGTCTGAGGTGGGTTGACTTAAAGCTAAAACCCCGACCACACTCCCTGCAGACATAGGGCTTCTCCCCTGTGTTTGTCCTCCGGTGTTTAAGGAGGGTTGACTTCTAGTTAAAGCCCTGCACACACTCCCCGCACATGGGACTTCTCCCCTGTGTACTGGTGACTGAGGACATGTGACTTATGACTAAAGTCCCGCTCACACTTTACAGACATAGGGCTTCTCCCCCATGTGTGTCCTCTGGTGTCTGAGGTGGGTTGACTTTAAGCTAAAGCCATGACCACACTCCCTGCAGACATAGGACTTCTACCCTGTGTGTGTCCGCTAGTGTCTAAGGAGGGTTGACTTCTGGCTAAAGCCCTGCACACACTCCCTGTAGACATAGGGCTTCTTCCCTGTGTGTGTCCTCTGGTGTCTAAGGAGGGTTGATTTCTGGCTAAAGCCCCGCCCACACTCCCTGCAGACATAGGGCTTCTACCCTGTGTGTCCCCTCTGGTGACTGAGGACATGTGACTTAAGGCTAAAGCCCCGCTCACACTTTCTACAGACATAGGGCTTCTCCCTCATGTGTGTCCTCTGGTGTCTGAGGTGGGTTGACTTAAAGCTAAAGCCCCGACCACACTCCCTGCAGACATAGGGCTTCTCCCCTGTGTGTGTCCTCTGGTGTCTAAGGAGGGTTGACTTCTGGCTAAAGCCCCGAACACACTCCCTGCAGACATAGGGCTTCTCCCCCATGTGTGTTCTCTGGTGACTGAGGAGGTTTGATTTCCGGCTAAAGCCTCGCCCTAACTCCCTGCAGACATAGGGATTCTCCCACGTGTGTGTGCTCTGGTGACTGAGGAGGGTTGACTTATGGTGAAAGCCCTGCCCACACTCCCTGCAGACATACGGATTCTCCTGTGTGTGTGTTCTCTGGTGACTGAGGAGGTGTGACTTAGAGCTAAAGCCCCGCACACACTCCCTGCAGACATAGGGCTTCTCCCCTGTGTGTGTCCTCTGTTATCCAAGGAGGGTTGACTTCTGGCTAAATCCACGCCCACACTCCCTGCAGACATAGGGCTTCTCCCTGGTGTTTGTCCTCTGGTGTCTAAGTAGGGTTGATTTCTAGTTAAAGCCCCGTACACACTCCCTGCAGACATAGGGCTTCTCCCATGTGTGTGTCCTCTGGTGACTGAGGACATGTGACTTATGGCTAAAGCCCCGCTCAAACTTTCTACAGACATAGGGCTTCTCCTCCGTGTATGTCCTCTGGTGTCTGAGGTGGGTTGACTTAAAGCTAAAGCCCCGCCCACACTCCCTGCAGACATAGGGCTTCTCCCCTGTGTGTGTCCTCTGGTGTCTAAGGAGGGTTGACTTCTAGTTAAAGCCCACCAACACTCCCTGCAGACATAGGGCTTCTACCCTGTGTTTCCCGTCTGGTGACTGAGGACATGTAACTTATGGCTAAAGCCCCGCTCACACTTTCTACAGACACAGGGCTTCTCCCCCGTGTGTGTCTTCTGGTGTCTGAGGTGGGTTGACTTAAAGCTAAAGCCCCGACCACACTCCCTGCAAACATAGGGCTTCTCCCCTGTGTATGTCCTCTGGTGTCTAAGGAGGGTTGACTTCTGGCTAAAGCCCCGCCCACACTCCCTGCAGACATAGGTCTTCTCCCCCATGTGTGTCCTCTGATGACTGAGGAGGGTTGACTTATGGCGAAAGCCCTGCCCAGACTCCCTGCAGACATAGGGCTTCTCCCCTGTGTGTGTCCTCTGGTGACTGAGGTGTGACTTAAAGCTAAAGCCCTGCCCACACTCCCTGCAGACATAGGGCTTCTACACTGTGTGTCCCCTCTGGTGACTGAGGACATGTGACTTATGGCTAAAGCCCCGCTCACACTTTCTACACACATAGGGCCTCTCCCCCATGTGTGTCCTCTGGTGTCTGAGGTGGGTTGACTTAAAGCTAAAGCCCCGACCACACTCCCTGCAGACATAGGGCTTCTTCCCTGTGTGTGTCCTCTGGTGTCTAAGGAGCGTTGACTTCTGGCTAAAGCCCCGCACACACTCCCTGCAGACATAGGGCTTCTCCCCCATGTGTGTTCTCTGGTGACTGAGGAGGTTTGATTTCTGGCTAAAGCCTCGCCCACATTCCCTGCAGACATAGGGATTCTCCCAGGTGTGTGTGCTCTGGTGACTGAGGAGGGTTGACTTATGGCGAAAGCCCTGCCCACACTCCCTGCAGACATAGGGCTTCTCCTCCATGTGTGTCCTCTGGTGACTGAGGAGGGTTGACTTATGGCTAAAGCCCTGCCCTCACTCCCTGCAGACATAGGGCTTCTCCCCTCTGTGTGTCCTCTGGTGACTGAGGGGGTGTGACTTAAAGCTAAAGCCCCACCCACACTCCCTGCAGACATAGGGCTTCTCCCCTGTGTGTGTCCTCTGTTATCTAAGGAGGGTTGACTTCTGCTAAATCCATGCCCACACTCCCTGCAGACATAGGGCTTCTCCCCTGTTTGTGTCCTCTGGTGTCTAAGGAGGGTTGACTTCTGGCTAAAGCCCCGCACACACTCCCTGCAGACAAAGGGTTTCTCCCCCGTGTGTGTTCTCTGGTGACTGAGGTTTTCCGGCTAAAGCCTCGCCCGCCCACACTCCCTGCAGACATTGGGATTTTCCCATGTGTGTGTCCTCTGGTGATTGAGGAGGGTTGACTTCTGGCGAAATCCCTGCCCACACTCCCTGCAGACATACGGCTTCTCCCCCATGTGTGTCCTCTGGTGACTCAGGAGGGTTGACTTATGGCTAAAGCCCTGCCCACACTTCCTGTAGACATAGGGCTTCTCCCTTGTGTGTGTCCTCTGGTGACTGAGGACATGACTCTTGGCTAAAGTCCCGCTCACACTTTCTACAGACATAAGGCTTCTCCCCCGTGTGTGTCCTCTGGTGTCTGAGGTGGGTTGACTTAAAGCTAAAGCTCGAATCACACTCCCTGCAGACATAGGGCTTCTCCTCCATGTGTGTCCTCTGGTGACTGAGGAGGGTTGACTTCTGGCTAAAGACCCACCCACACTCCCTGCAGACATAGGGCTTCTCCCCTGTGTTCTCTGGTAACCGAGGAGGTGTGACTTAAAGCTACAGCCCCGCCCACACTCCCTGCAGTCTTAGGGCTTCTCCCCTGTGTGTCTCCTCTGGTGACTGAGGAGGGTTGACTTATGGCTAAAGCCCCGCCCACACTCCCTGCAGACATAGGGCTTCTCCCTCGTGTGTGTCCTCTGGTGACTGAGGACTGTTGACTTCCGGCTAAAGACCTGCCCACACTCCCTGGAAACATGGGACTTCTCTCTCGTATGTGTCCTCTAGTGTCTCAGGAGGTGTGACTTACAGCTAAAGCCCCGCCCACACTCCCTGCAGACATAGGGCTTCTCCCCCATGTGTGTCCTCTGGTGTCTGAGGTGGGTTGACTTATGGCTAAATCCCCACCCACACTCCCTGCAGACATAGGGCTTCTCCCCTGTGTGTGTCCTCTGGTGACTGAGGTTTGACTTCTGGCTAAAGTCTCGCCCACACTCCCTTAGAGGGCTTCTCCCCTGTGTGTCTCCTCTGGTAACTGAGGAGGTTTGACTTCTGGCTAAAGTCTCGCCCACACTCCCTGCAGACAGAGGGCTTCTCCCCCTTGTGTGTCCTCTGGTGACTGAGGAGGTGTAACTTCTGGCTAAATCCCCACCCACACTCACTGCAGACATAGGGCTTCTCCCCTGTGTGTGTCCTCTGGTGACTGAGGAGGTGTGACTTCTGGCTAAATCCCCACCCACACTCACTGCAGACATAGGGCTTCTCCCCCGTCTGTGTCCTCTGGTGACTTGGGAGGGTTGACTTCTGGCTAAAGCCCCGCCCACACCTCTGCTGTCATAGGGCTTCTCCCCTGTGTGTATCCTCTGGTGTCTGAGGAGGGTTGACTTCCGGCTAAAGCCCCGCCTACACTCCCTGCAGACACAGAGCTTCTCCCCGGTGTGTGTCCACTGGTGTGCAGTAACATCTGACATATCACTGAAACCTTGCCCACACTCTCCATAGTTGGCTTTTGCAATTCTTGAGATTCCCACCCCCACAAATAATTTGCCCATGTCCACTGGATTCACTTTCTGGCCTGTTCTGGACTCAGTTTCCATCATTCATTCTTCCACTCTAGAGCTCCCCATTTGTCCTTTGGTTGGGTTAGGAAAGGCCCTCGAAATCTCCCTCTGCCATGTCCTTGTATTCAAGATTTTGGACCTTTCTTTGATCTTTTAACCTTTGGTTTTGTCATTAGAGTTGCATGGATCAAAATATTGCTGCTTCTCTTCCTGTTTCCCCTGTCAGGGATTCTCTGGTTGGAGTAGTTTTCTTGTAGATGTTCCTGGGAAGTTCTGAGAGGAATGATTGCGTTCCACATGATGACAGAAATTTCTGACTTGAGAAGGCCAGACAGCATGAGGGACATGGATGAATCTCTGGCTTTGGTTCTGAAAGAGAAAGTTTTTGGTCAGGGTAGATGTTTTGGTCAGGCCTTACCACATAGGATGTCATGAAGATCAAATGAAGAACCAATCATTCTTCATATGTTAATGCAAGCTCACTCCCACCAAGTGCTGGATGGACCTTTACAGTCCATTTTTCCATTCCACTTTTATTCACTACCTCTTACAAAATCCAGAAATCCCACGTCTTAGGCCTTTTCTATATATTAGCCAGACTAGGTAACCTCAAGCAGCGTCAGAGGCAGTGTCATTCCTCACGTAGATGGAACTGCAGTGACCTTTCCCACACACTACAGGTATCTTCCAAGTCCTGTAAAACCCACCCTGATCACCCTCTGCCACATCCTTCCTCCTTGGTCCCTGGGCACTTTCACTGACATGAGGTCTTCAGCTATTTTATTCTATTAAAAAATAACACTCGATGACTTAGGTGAGATTGTCCTTAGAGGCTTCCTAAGAGGGAGGGGAAAAGAATGATTAGGAACACTCAACCTGGAGATCCACAAATGTGGTTAAAGAGAAGATGTGTGAGCAAATCTGAATTTGAGTCTCCTCATTCAAAATGACATATTTAATCGAGGACTGTTACGTGCTTGGTTCTCCATCAGGAAGTGGGATTCAGGTTGGCCAGCACAGAGCGGTCCAGGTCCCACTGACTAAAGGGCCTGCTGCTCCAACTAGGTGCATGGGCTGCTTTTATTTCAGATTCCACAGATCATAAAATGAGGATATGCTTTTTCTCAGGCTGCGTATCAAGTATTTATGCTTGATTTATTTCATTCAGTCTGAGCCCATTTCAAATACAATAGGAAATCTTGTTTCAAAAAATATCCCTAATCAGGCTTACCTCCGTGCTCCCCCCTTCATCCTGTCACCATTCCCTCTCACCCAGAAACTGGAGTAGCTCTGAGGGGATGACCAGCTGCGGTCTGTTTTCCAAAAATGAGCCAAAACTGAAGTATTTCTGGCCTCAGGACCTATGCACTAGCTGCACCCAGTCCCCAGAACCCTTTGCCCACAGGCACGTGCACTTCTCAAATGCTGTCTCCTGAGAGAAACCATCCCTGACAGTTCCCTGCCACACTCTGATCCCCAGGTACTCTTCCTGGATTCAGTTTCTTCAAAGCAGTAATCGCTGTCTGATATTACACATATGCCTGTATGTATTCATATGGTTCCCTAATTTACATGTCATCTGTTCAAGAGTAGTTTTTCTGATTGTCTTGATCAACTCGTATTTATACTTCTTCCAACTTTTATTTACTACATTTATGAAATCCAAAATGCCCACATCTTGGGCCTTTTCTACATATCAGCTAGACTAGGCAACCTCAAGCAGCATCAGAGGCAGCGTCTATGTGCAACATCATCTGGCACAGAGTAGGAATTCATGTGACAGCTAATTGAGATAATGAATGAATGAATGAATAACAACACATGCATATCATTAAGAAATAAAAAGGAAATGCCATAAGAAACTACTTTGTTGAGAGAGCTGGAGGTGTTTGAGAACTTGATTATTGTCTTTATTTTGTGCATGAAGTACTTAGAATATAAAATCAAAAATTAAAAACATGAAAGTCATTCCAAAGAGGCAAAGGTGTGTAACATGAATCTTTAATCTTGGAAGCCACTGATCTGAAATTTTACTGACTTTAGATGTCATTTTACTCTGCTTAAGAGTTAAACCATGAAAATCTGAAGGATAATTCTTTCTTGTCCTGTTACAAGAGTAATAGTGATGCCTACCTCTCCCTGCCATTGAAGAGGGAGACCCAGGCATCTCAAATCAACTTCCCTTTTCCTAAGACTGTAAACTTCCCCTTCTCATTCCTAAGACTGTAAACTTAAGCCCTTTTCATATGTAATTCCTAAGACTGTGAACAGAGACCCTTTTCATATGTTAAGCTCTAAACCTCAGATTCTTCCACGTGTAGCATCTAAAGTATAACCCTATATAAAGAAGAAAACTTCCTTTGTTAGGCGAGCTTGGATATTGGGCAAATATGCCACTTGGCTCCTGGCCGAATAAACTCCTTCCTCCAATATTCGGTGTCCAAGAGATGTTTCCTGTGGCCACTCCTGCAACATTTTGGTGTGTTGGCCCGGAAGCGAGTCTCAGATAGCAGATGGTGGGAAAAGTCTCTTAGGTGGTTTGCCTAGCCCTGTGGAGCATCCCTGCGGGGGGACTCCTGCTCCCTGGAGTGACGCATCCTGAGAGCGCTCCTGGGCAGGTATTTTCCCGGTGGAAAAGTCTCACCAGAGTGGAGCAGGGAAGCCCTGCAGACCGGATCCACCCAGTGGCTGAACACCGAGGAGGAATGAGCATTTGGGGAAGTCTAGCACACTGAATTTGTAAGATTGTACCCGGGAAAGTAGCCCACCCCACTGGGTGGAAGCATGGCCTGATCACCCACGGGTGCCAGATCAGCACATTGGAAGGTAGCTCTCTGTTGCATTGGAAGGAGGGCATTTGGATGTGTGTGTCGTTGTACCCAGGAAAGTAGCCCACCCCACTGGGTGGAAGCATGGCCTCATCACCCACGGGTGCCAGATTGGCATGTTGGAAGGTAGCCCTCAGTTGCATTGGAAGGAGAGCATTCAGATGTGTGTCTGTTTGTGAATACGTGTGACCTTGGAAGCTTTTGCTTATGGTTTTGAATTGGAAGGAGAGCATTCAGATGTGTGTCTGTGTGTGGATGTGTGTGTCTGTGTAGATGTGTCCAGCTGGCCTCATCAGTCGTAAAAGGTATTGGGCCCATTAGGAAGGGCCTTGTGTGTCAAGCAATTTGTAAAAATTAGAGACAGCCACATAAGGCTGAGTGAAAAAGCCTCTGTGCATTGTAAAGGGATTGAAATGAATGTAAATTGGAGAGTGTTCTGTGCTGCGTCTTGCTAGTCATGGGCTGCTGTGGGTGAACTGATACTCTCCTAACTGTGGGAATTGTTTCTTTGAATTGTTAACATGGGTCACTCCCAAAGCAAGCCCACCCCTTTAGAAATCATGCTGAAAAATTTCAAGAAGGGATTTAGTGGGGATTATAAAGTAACTATGACACCAGAGAAATTAAGGGTTTTATGTAGGAAAGATTGGCCAGCATTTAGGGTGGATTGGGACCCAGAGGGGACCCTAGAGAGGCCCCTTGTCTCCAAAGTAAGGCGGCGAACTAGAACACCTTGATCAATTTCCATACATAGACTCGTGGTTGCAGTTAGTTTTGAACCCACCAAAGTAGCTAAGAGAGCAGTCAGCGATTGTTTTAGTAGCCAAGGGATAGACTGCTAGAAACCACCATCCCCCTTGCCGCGGAGAAACGTGGACTCCCCAAGTCCAGGCAAATTCAGTGGCCGAAACAGGCAGGATTTGCATGTATGAATACTTCAGTTACTGGAAGTGGCTAACCAGGCATTTGTAAACCAAGAGGCTTATCTAAGCCAGAGGGAAAGTCATAGGGAAAGGGAACGTCAGGCTCAACAGAAGGCTGACTTGATAGCTGCTGCTATGAGAGGAAAACCCCCAAGAGTGTGGAAAAAGGGGTGTTCCTGGAAAGCCTCACAGTCTGCCCACCTGGGCCTGCAACGCAATCAGTGTGCATTTTGTCAAGAAATAGGACATTGGAAAAAAATGCCCACAGTTAATGGGAGATCAGGGCGATCCTAAGCACGAGGATCCAGATAAAAAGTGAAGAGGCTCTGTTCAATCTAATGGAAGGGCCACTGGACTAAAAGAGAAGGGGGCCAGACACATATGACCCCATAGAGCCCACAGTCCGGATGACAGCCCTGTAACCCCCCATGGAAAAAACAGAACCAATATTGTTAGAGCTATTAAAGTGTTAAGAGAACAGACTTTCGGCCGGGCACGGTGGCTCAAGCCTGTAATCCCAGCACTTTGGGAGGCCGAGGCGGGTGGATCACAAGGTCAAGAGATCGAGACCATCCTGGTCAACATGGTGAAACCCTGTCTCTACTAAAAATACAAAAAATTAGCTGGGCATGGTGGCACGTGCCTGTAATCCCAGCTACTCAGGAGGCTGAGGTAGGAGAATTGCCTGAACCCAGGAGGCGGAGGTTGCGGTGAGCCGAGATCGCGCCATTGCACTCCAGCCTGGGTAACAAGAGCGAAACTCCGTCTCAAAAAAAAAAAAAAAAAAAAAAAAAAAAAAAAAAAAAAAAAAAAAAAAAAAAAAAAGAGAGAACAGACTTTCTTGTACTTAATGGACTGCCCCTACTCGCCTTCTCCGGCAAAACCTGTTGTGCAAATTGAGGGCCACTATGCCATTCAAAAAGGAGATTCCCTGCAGCTAAAATGCCTTAGGCAGGGGTCATCCAGGCTCTCATTGTCCCTTGGGAAGGAGGGTGGAGCCTTCCTAGCCAGAAGCAGAAGACTATTACCCAAGCCCATGCAGGGCTTGCATGGCTTTGCACCCAACTCATATGTGCAGTTGGGATTATTGCCAGTAGAAGATAGTTGGTTCACTTAATTGGACTTAAAGAATACCTCCTTAGCATTGGACTGACCTCAGAGGGTCAAAAGAACTATTTGCATTTCAATGGCAGAAACCCAGAAGCAGGTGTGACCACTCAATACACCTGGACCCAGCTTCCCAGTGTGCGACCCGCAGAGACCCTTCCCAAAGCAAATGAGAGCGAGGAGTTGGTAAGCCGAGTCCAGGTTTATTGGGATCTGCGGGCAACCCAGGCGGGAGGGGAGCTGAGCTGCACCGAATGGCTGAAGACATAGGTTTATATCGGGAAGGTGACGGAGTTTAGGCGGAGGTGTTAGCTGCTGGTTGGTGGAAGGGAGAGCAGAGGAGGGTTTTCTGCATGCCAGAAGGGGATTGGTCACCTCTTGGCGGGCTTAGGTTTGAATTTTATTGGCTGTCTTGTTTCTAGGCAGACTACTGCAACTGCCAAGGGGTGGGGAATGGGGGTTGGCTTTAGGTTTGGTGGGTTAAGGCTGAGCAGTGATTGGCCGCCCTGCGTTACCAGGCAGAATAGGGTCTGCAGGCGGACTCCAGGAAGTGAGGGACAAAATGGAGGACTGTGGGTTTTTCTACCAAACACCCAGGAGCTCAAAAAACTCTCTCATCATCCTTGGGGAGGCATCAGCCCGTGACCGCCCCCCAGAAGCTTCTTGCTTGCATGCTGCCCCTTGTATGCTGATAACCTTCTATCAGGACACCCCACGGCAGTCGGGTGCGCAAACAAATGCCTTACTTTGGCACCTGGAGGACTGTGGGTATAAAGGGTTTAAAAGGAAAGCCCAGATTTTCCAAACAGCAAATGCAGTATCTGAGGCTTACCATCTGGAAGGGGGAACGCAGCCTAGAAGCAGAGAGGAAGCAAACCACTTGCAAAGTGACAGAACCTGAGACTAAAAAGCAGTTGAGAGAGCTCCTGGAAGCAGTGGGTTTTGTAAATTGTGGATTTCCAAACTTCGCAGTACTAGCCAAATCCCTCTATGATGTGACAAAGGGGAGACAAGGAGCCCTTTGAATGGGGATCCCAGCAAGATCAGGCCTATCAGGAACTGAATACAAAACTAATGTCAGCTCCAGTTTTGGGGCTGCCTGATTTAACAAAGCCCTTCACATTATATGTGGCAGAAAGAGAAAAAGTGGCAATTGGGGTCCTAGTTCAAACAGTAGGACCTTGGCCCAGGCCTGTAGCTTACCTCTCCAAGCAGCTGGATGGAGTTTCCAAAGGATGGCCCCCATGCTTAAGGGCCCTGGCAGCAACTGCTCTGCTAGCACAAGAAGCAGATAAGCTAACTCTGAGACAGGATCTGAATATCAAGGTACCTCACGCAATAGTGACTCTAATGAATACCAGAGGGCACCACTGGTTATCAAATGTTAGGCTGACCAAATGCCAGGGCCTGCTATGTGAAAATCCCTGCATCACCATTGAAGTCTGCAACACCTTAAACCCCACCACTTTGCTCCCAATGTCAGAGGGACCTGTTGAACACAACTGTGTTGAAGTCCTGGACACAGTCTATTCCAGCAGGCCTGATCCTTGGGATCAGCCATGGACAGTAGCAGACTGGGAGTTGTATGTGGATGGGAGCAGCTTTGTCAATCCATGAGGGGACAGATGTCCAGGCTACGCTGAGGTTAACTCTAGACACTGTAAGCAAGGCCAAATCCCTGCCTCAGGGCACCTCAGCTCAAAAGGCTGAACTCATTGTTTAACTCAAGCCCTAGAGCTGAGTAAAGATAAGTTGGTAAACATTTATGCCTTCCAACTCTCCGAGTACCTGGAGCATTGTTCAAAGAGAGAGGCCTGTTAGCTTCAGGGGGAAAAGAAAGTATCAGCATGACATTTTGCAGCTCCTAGAAATGGTCTGGAGAGTGGTGGTGGTGCAATGCCGAGGACATCAGAGGGCCCGCACCTCCGTGGCCCTGGGAAATTCCTGATTAGATTCAGTAGCTCATAGGTAGGGCAGCATCTGCCCCCTGCCAAATAGCAGTTACAGCCCCGCTGATTCCCCACATCCCTGATCTAATACCTAATTACTCTAAGGAGGAAAGAGACTCTCCAGACAGAAGAGGGCAACTGATTAAAGAAGGATGGGTCCATGGCCAGATGGAAGAATAACAGCACCACAGCTGCTGGGGGCAGCAGTTGTACAAGCCGTACATGAGACCACTCATTTAGGTCAAGAGTCACTTGAAAAGATGCTGGGCCGGTAATTTTACATCTTACACTTAGCAGCCTTGACCAAAACTGTGGCACAGCAATGCATTACATGTTTGAAGATCTCCAGGTAGACTTTATTGAAATGTCCAAGTGTGGAGGACATAAGTATTTGTTGGTCCTGGTGGGCACATACTCTGGATGGAACTGAAAGAGCCCATGAAGTAACCTGTGTGCCGCTTCGAGACCCCTAGGTTTGGACTGCCACTGCACATCGGAGCAGAGAGCGGACCAGCATTTGTGGCAGATTTAGTCTGGAAAACAGCAACGGCCTTGGGTATCACCTGGAAACTGCACACTGCCTACCAACCTCAGATTTCCAGAAAAGTGGAAAAAATGAACTGGACCATCAAAAACAGCTTAGGGAAAGTGTTTAGGAAACAAGATTAGAGTGGGTGCAGGTACTTCCCTTGGGGTTATTCAAAATTAGAGACACTCCCTTTAGAAAAAACAGGATATTCCCCTTTTAAGTCTTATACCATAGGCCTCCTACCCTACTTTGGGCACCCCTAGGAACTCCTTGGGAGTGGGGAGAGATTGAGTTAGGATGCTAGTTACCAGCTCTAAGGAGAGTTGCTTAGGATACTTCAACCTAAGTAAATAACAAATGTCCTGTAAGTCTTTTTCTCCCCAGTTCACCCTTTCTCACTAGGTAATCACTTGTGGATAAAGGACGGGAGTACAGCCCCTCTAAAGCCACAATGGAAAGGACTTCAGACCTGATCCTGACCAATCCCACAGCTGTGAAGGTAGAGGGACTCCCAACCTGAATCCACCACAGCCGTGTAAAAACCAGCAGCAGCTGGAACTTAGACCAAGGCAAGGACTGCAGAATCACCTTAAGAAGGACAACAAGCCTTGCTCCAGCCACATCCCGGAAGCTGGCTGGTCCACGCACTGCTGAAGCATGAGGAAATTCATTGTGGGATTTGTTCTTAATATTTGGACTTGCACAGTAGGAAAATTAACTAATTTTGAAGAATGCCCTCAGTATGTACACCAGGTAGGACGTAAAAGTTACTCCTTTGTCCTGCAGATCTTATAAATGTACGGGGACACAGAAGGGAACCTGTTTATATAATGGTACTCAATATAAGGTGTGTAATCCATGAGATGGACAGGTAGCTGTGTCATAGGCATCATTAAGCCTTCTTTCTTCCTATTATCTGTTAGGTGAGCTGTTAAGAGCATTCAGTTTGCTCCGCTAGGGAGAAGAGAGACCTAAAACTAGGGAATTGGACAGATGATGAGCGGCCACCGGAGAGAATTATTGAGTACTATGGGCTGGCCACATGGGCTGAGGATGGCTAATGGGGATACCGGACCCCCATTTACATGCTCAACCAGATCATCGGGGTGCAGGCTGTTTTGGAAATACTAATGAAATGGGCAAAGCTCTGTCCCTCTTGGCCCAACAAGAAACTCAAATGAGAAACGCAATCTGTCAGAACCAACTGGCCCTAGATTATCTGCTAGCAGCCGAAGGAGGAGTCTAGGGAAAATTCAGTCTAACCAACTGCCGTCTGCACATAGATGACCAGGGGCAAGCAGTGGAGGATATTGTGTGAGACATGACCAAACTGGCACATGTGCCTGTACAGGTATGGCACGGATTTGACCCTGAGTCCTTGTTTGGAGGTTGGTTCTTATCCTTGGGAGGATTCAAAACCCTCATCGTAAGTGTTATAATAGGTGTTTGTTTACTGCTCCCTTGTCTACTGCCGCTGTTCCTTAAGATGAATAGGGGATTCATCCCTACTGTAGTTAGCCAAAAATTGACCTCACAAGTGTATTATATGAAACATTATCAGTCTGTTTCTTCAGAAAATCTGGAAAGTGAGACCTCTCACTAATATTATAAAGTGGTGAGGGTCTCAAAGGGGGGAATGAAGAGGGAGACCCAGGCATCTCAGATCAACTTCCCTTTTCCTAAGACTGTAAACTTCCCTTTCTCATTCCTAAGACTATAAACTGAAGCCCTTTTCATATGTAATTCCTAAGACTGTAAACAGAGACCCTTTTCATATGTTAAGCTCTAAACCTAAGATTCTTCCACGCGTAGCATCTAAAGTATAATCCTATATAAAGAAGGAAACTTCTTTTGTTAGGTGAGCTTGTATATTATGCAAATATGCCACCTGGCTCCTGACTTAATGAACTCCTTCCTCCATATTCGGTGTCGGAGAGATGTTTCCTGTGGCCACTCCTGCAGCACCATGAGCTCTTTCTTCCACTTGCTGCCCCACTTGATGCCCAGTTTCTGGCCGTACTCATCCCCATACCAGACTAGCAGTTCACAGCCTGGCCTAATGACTCGGCAGGTTCTATAGAAGATCTGCCTGTGGTACTGGAAGGCCACAAGGTTCTGCTCCTCATCATCCCGGGCACAGTTCACATACCTGGGTTCAAGGGAGCAAAGGGAAAGAAAAGAGGCAGTGAGTTCTCAGTATCTGTCAGATCCAGGTCGGGCCCATCACCTGCTGGTCTAGGACCCCATGGTCTAGTGCTGAGCACTCCCCCACCACTCCTCTGGGAGCCTTCTGTTCTTTTCTAAATCTCTTTCATAAGGTCATATGAACTTACGATTCTGACTACAGTGCTCATGCTGCCTGGAATGTGTCCCTGCTGTGCGCAATCAACCATTTTTTCAAAGCCCAGCTCTGGACTTACTTCCAACTTGATTGACCATAAAACACATCAAAGCCTAGCTTCTCTAAACTCTAAATTAATTCTTTTTTTATGCCACAGAACTTGGTGCTTGATCATGTACTCTGCTTCTAGATTAGTGTACATCATTCTACATTCAGCCCTAGTCCATCTTGCTTGCCTTCCTCAGTCATCCTACATTTCACCCAGGTGCCGTTCACCTGCCTTGCCCAGGTTTCCAGAGAAACTTAGAAGCCTCTTTCTCTTGGCCTGATAACAGAATGGTAATAGTTTATTCATTTTCCAATTCTCTGGTAAAACGAGAGCCCACTGTGGGAAGGGGCTGGGTCATCCAGCAGCTCACGTCTCCTTAGGCTTCAGTTTTAATTTTACTCAGGCCAGGAAGATTTGCTGCCCTCACAGATTAAAGGTCCTTTGTTTCAGGTTGTTTTGGTAATGTGTGCTTCTTTTTTTTTTTTGAGACGGAGTTTCGCTCTTGTTACCCAGGCTGGAGTGCAATGGCACGATCTCGGCTCACCGCAACCTCCGCCTCCTGGGTTCAGGCAATTCTCCTGCCTCAGCCTCCTGAGTAGCTGGGATTACAGGCACGCGCCACCATGCCCAGCTAATTTTTTGTATTTTTAGTAGAGACGGGGTTTCACTATGTTGACCGGGATGGTCTCGATCTCTTGACCTTGTGATCCACCCGCCTCGGCCTCCCTAAGTGCTGGGATTACAGGCGTGAGCCACCGCGCCCGGCCCGGTAATGTGTGCTTCTTAAAAAAATAAGAAAATTTTGGTTAAATGTTCCTATAACCAAATGTTTCATGTCCATCTGCAATACATCCTCCACATAGGACATGGGTTGTATGACCTGTTCAATTATGAACTTCACTTCCTAACCTGGAAGTGCTTAATAAATGTGGATTACATAAATTAAAGCATGAATGCAGTGTCCCCATGAATCTAGGCTTCTCAAGGTGTATCTTGGTGCCTTAATTTTGTCTAACATACAGATTTAAGTTTTGATACCAATAAATCATAATGTCTATATTTTTATCTTTTATTTCTAAATGTTGATGGTATAAAACAGCACTGTGTGAAGAAAATAGAAACACGGAATGTGAAAATCATTGAAGGTGCCATGATGAGAAGGAAGGAAATCCGGGATTGTGAGAGAGGAAGGTTGGTTCTGAAACTCAAGAGAACTCCTGGCCTTACCTCATCCAGTTGGACCAGGATTTATCATTTCCATCCACATACTCATAGCAGTTTCTCCCTTTGGTGATCTGAGTTTCAGAAAAATAAGGTAAAGGCTTTTTAGAGAGTAAAAATCAGAAGAATTACTTTACTCCATGTCATCAGTGGCCTTTGGGCCTGCATGGCTTCAGCTGCCAGTTCAGACCACATGGTATGCACCGTAGTCATCATCTGCACATCTGAGTTGATTTGTCCAGTCAGAGCAGAAGCCCCACAAGGGAGGATGCACTTGTTGTCTTTGTACCACTCTGCTCCCATATACCCTCTGATCTCTAAATAGAAGTTCCATGTTCATGCAAAGACCCTTGAGTACACAGAGCTAACCACGTTATCTCTGCCTGTAAGCTAACAGTGAAGATGGTGCTGTCCCAGCAAAGGCACAGAAGGGATGTGAGAAGACAGAACAGGGGAAATGGCAGGTAATTCTTACCAGCCAGGAGTATCCATTGTTGGCTGCCTCTTCATCTTCTGTAATTCGGCCCTCATAGGGTCCAAAGTGAAGATCCAGCGGCAGATCAGAGGCATCATTCCATACTCCAAGCCCAGCCTGAGGGATGCCTGATGGCCCAATTCTCAGTCCAGGGAGCAGGCTGAGGGCTGCATGGTTGGGATGCCCCTTGTCCACTGCACTGTCCTTCACAAATGTCGGGGGCCCATGAGCAGCACAGCTGTCAATGAAGTTCTGACACATCTCACAATATGGAAGTGAGGGAAGCAGGGATTAGGAAAGTTATAATCCAAGTTCCTTGATATAAGAGCTTCAGAAAGAGCTTGGCACTCACATTACTTAGCCACAGTCCTGTACTCTTAACTCATCAGAGTAAATGAATGATTTGGGGATCAAATGATGAAATTACTGTACCAGGACATAACAGCCAACTGTGTGAGTGGCCAAGAGGGTCACTTACAGAGGTAGTCATCATCCTGGGGCTCGCTGACCTCTTTGTATGCATGACCCATTCTTTCTCGCAGGCTATACATCTTTCCTTCAGTCTCCTTCCTCCTGAGTTCTAGGTTGGAGAAAAGGAAATGGGTAAAATTGGGAGACTGGGGTGTTTGTCTCTGTTTCATGAGAAAATGTGAAATCTCCTGGCATCTAATGAGGATCTACCTTGCTACATATTCCAGTCCCCCCTCTTTACTGCTTCAGAGGGACTTAGACCCCACACCCGCACTGACTGCAGATGCCTATTCAATTTTTTTTTCTTTTTTTGAGACAGAGCTTCGCTTTTGTTACCCAGGCTGGAGTGCAATGGCATGATCTCAGCTCACCACAACCTCCGCCTCCTGGGTTTGGTCAATGCTTCTGCCTCAGCCTCCCGAGTAGCTGGGATTACAGGCACGCGCCACCATGCTCAGCTAATTTTTTGTATTTTTAGTAGAGACAGGGTTTCACCTATGTTGACCAGGATGGTCTCGATCTCTTGACCTCGTGATCCACCCGCCTCGGCCTCCCAAAGTGCTGGGATTACAGGCGTGAGCCACTGCCTATTCAATTTTAGTTCTGACCGTTCCCATTATCTCATTAACCTCCCAACCTTTCTACTTGTAAAATGTTTCATTCATGCATTTAGTCCTTAAGAAAATATTTCTTGAGGGCACATTACATCTGGGGATCTTCTATAAACTAATAGACATTTTATGGAAGAGGAAATGTACAAATGCACAAAGGAATATCTATTATCAGAGAGGTACTTATTGAACACTTTGCACGTATCAATTCATTTATATTTAATTATTTCAAACAATATATGAACTATATGTCCTTGATCTCATTTTACAGATTACCATTCAAGGGCTCAGAGATTTTATAACATTTGCCCAGGGACCCAATGCTTCTAGGTGGATTATAACCCAAGTGAGTGACTTCAAAATTAATGTTCTTACATGCTATTCAATACTGTATCCAAGACTGGACATGGTGGCTCAAGCCTGTAACCCCAGCATTTTGGGAGGCTGAGGTGAGCATGGTCACTTGACCAGGAGTTCGAAACCAGCCTGGCCAATATGGTGATACCCTGTCTCTACTAAAAATACAAAAATTAGCTAGGCTTGGTAGTGCATACCTATAATTCGAGCTACTTGGGTGACTGAAGCATGAGAATTGTTATTACCTGGGAGGCAGAGGTTGCAGTGAACCAAAAATCGTGCCACTGCACTCAGCCTGGGCGGCAGAGTGAGACTCGGTCGCAGTGAACAAATAAATAAATAATTTTAACAAAATGCTGCATCTAACTTCTGGTCTCACAATTGAGTCCAGCTTAAGCCCAGGCTATCCAAACTCTACCCCACATATGCAGACCATACTCATCAACCTTTCTAGAGGACATAGAGGGATTGAAGTCCCTCTAAATATTTTTTCTTACCCGGTTTTACTCTAGAGTGCTGTCCAGAGGTACTCACTTCTCCAGGAGGGGACACTGGTCTCTGAGCCTGCTCTGAGCCACTTGTATTCAGTACCTTTGCCAGTTCCTGACAATTTCTTCAAACTAGATTCATTGCTGAATGATGCCTTGGGCATTCCCTTGAATGTGAAGTCACATATTAAACAACAACATGCATTTCTTTAGCTCTTTAAGGCTTGCAGCGTCTTTTCATATGTGTGACTCTAGTTAATGCTTCAAACCTTGGAAATACCTAGAGTATCTAAATACAAGAGGGAAAAGAGAAGGTCTAAGTGGGTAGTGAATCTGGGACTATAACCCATGTCTTAAGGCTCTTTCCTTCAACTTTCTCTCAAAATTCTCTATAGAAGTTAAAGGGAGGGAGGAAGAAAACTTGGGAAGACTATCTGGAGAATCAACAGGTCTGTGAAAGAAGAGGGTAAGGGCTAACAGAGAAGAAGGGAATCTTCTATAAACTAGCAGACATTTGATGGAAGGGGAAATATGGAAAAACACAGAGGGACAAGGCACATCTAGAAAATGAGGTAAAAGAGCAGTTAAGGTTGGGAACAGAACAGAGATGACTGGCAAAAATGTATCTAGACAACTAAGAAAGTGATGTCAGATTTGCACATTGCCATATCCTGGAAAGAATATTTGGTTTTGGAATTACTTAGTTCCTGTACCAGTTCTGCTTGTCTGCTTGAATAAGGGTGTATTGTTAGCTAATTCTCTTTAGTTTTCCAATCCAGAAACTGGCATACATGCTAATTTTTTTGAGAGGGAGTCTCAGTCTGTTGCCTAGGCTGAAGTGCACTGGCATGATCTCAACTCACTACAGCCTCCGCCTCCCATATTGAAGAGATTCTCTGGCCTCAGCCTCCCGAGAAGCTGGGATTACTGGCACTGTGCCACTACACCTGGCTAACACTTATTTTATTTTATTTTTTGGTGAAATGGAGTTTCATTCTGTCACCCAGTCTGGAGTGTTGTGGTGTGATCTCGGCTCACTGCAACGTCCACCTCCCAGGTTCAAGCAATTCTCCTGCCTCAGCCTCCTGGGTAGCTGGGACTACAGGTGTGCACCACCATGCCCAGCTAATTTTTGTATTTTTATTAGAGACAGGGTTTCGCTAGGTTGGGCAGGCTGGTCTTGAACTCCTCACCACAAATTGATCTACCCATCTTGACCTCCTGAAGTGCTGGGATTATAGGTGTGTGCCACTGTGCCTGGCCCATGTTTTTCTTTCTTGCTTGCTTGCTTTCTTTTTTTCTTTTTCTTTCTTTCTTTCTTTCTTTCTTTCTTTCTTTCTTTCTTTCTTTCTTTTTCTTTCTTTCTTTCTTTCTTTTCTTTCTTTCGAGAGGGAGTCTTGCTCTGTTGCGTAGGCTGGAGCGCAGTGGCACAATCTCAGCTTACTGCAGCCTCTACCTCCTGGATTCAAGCAAATTCTTCTGCTTCAGCCTCCTGAGTAGTTGGGATTGCAGGCATCCACAACCACGCCTGGCTAATTTTTGTAGTTTTAGTAGAGATGGGGTTTCACCATATTGGTCAGGCTGGTCTCAAACTCCTGACCTCAGGTGATCTGCCCACCCTCACCTCCCAAAGTGCTGGAATGACAGGTGTGAGCCACCAGGCCTGGTGCTAATTCTTAATATTATAGGAAATATGAAAGATAATAATGTTCACCAAAGTGTTTCATGAGCTACTTAATACAGTGTGAATGTGAGAGTAATAATTTTTTTTGGCTGGGTATGGTGGTGCACAGCCTGTAATCCCAGTGCTTTGGGGGGCTGAGGCAGGTGGATCACCTAAGGTCAGGAGTTTAAGACCAGCCTGGCCAACCTCACCTCTACAAAAAATACAAAATACTAGCTAGGCATGGTGGTGGGTGCCTGTAATCCTAGCTACTTGGGAGGCTGAGGCAGGAGAATCACTTGGACCCAGGAAGTGGAGGTTGCAGTGAGCCAAGATCACATCACTGCACTCCAGCCTGGGTAACAAAAGTGAAACTCTGTCTCAATAAAATAAAATAAAATAAATAATTATTCTCACAGACTGGGTGTGGTGGCTCACATCTGTAATCTCAGCACTTTGGGAGGCCGAGGTGGAAGGATTGCTTGAGCCCAGGAGTTCAAGACCCGCATGAGCCACATGGCAAAACCCTGTCTTTACGAAAAAATACAAACATTAGCCAGGTGTGGTGGTGCACGCTTGTGGTCTCAGCTACTCAGGAGGCTGAGGCGGTAGGATGCCACTAACCTAGAAGATGGAGGTTGCAGTGAACTGAGATTGAGCCATTGCACTCCAGCATGGGTGAAAGAGTGAGACCCTGTCTCAAATCCCTGCCCCACCAAAACCAACCAACCAAACAAACAAACATTATCTCATAGTCCTGATATCATCTCTACAGTTGAAATCTAACTCAAAGATATTTTCAGCATTCCTTGACTCTGTTACCTATAGTTTATTTCATAAATTTGGAATCACTCATTCAGAAAACACTCAGGAGGCTCTCAGAGGCCCTGAGCCAGGCTTAGGAGTTCTAAGAAGAATCAAGTATGGACCAGACTCCTGAAGAGCTCACAGCACAGAGGCAGCAGGTAGGCTAAACAAATGATTCCAGACTAGCATGAGAGTTCCCTTACTGGAGCCCAGAGGAAGGAGCTGTTACTGCCTTCTACTACAGGAATGAGCATTTGAAATCAGTTCCAGAAAATATTTTTTCTTAATAGGTGTAACCTATATGAAGTCCTAAACAATTTTCTTGTTTGTTGTTTCTCAGTCTTCAAACTTGAAACTCCTCAGGGCTGGAAGCTGCTTCCTCTGATCAGAATGGGTCCCTTATGAGGGGAGGGACCCTATCTCCTTCTGGGACCATCACAGTATGAATTGTCTATTTACTTGGAACCTTCCCTTAATCAGAGTGTTTTAGTGCAAATCTCACTGTACTGTAACAGAGAAAAACTGAGGTTGAAAAGTCAGTTGAATGAATGATGCAAAGATATATGGGTAAGGCAGCATAAATTTTATAAAACTATGAAACTTTTAATGATATTGTAAGTGCTTTAGAGAAGGAGTTTTGGATTAGACTGCATGTGATTCTAGGCCTATAATTGAACATTTTTATACGTCAGTTTTCTCATCGAGAAAATGGCTATAGTTACAGCAGCTACTTAATAGGAACTATATGTAAAGTTGAATAGGTATGATATGTGAAGTTTATTCATGTAAAATGCTTAAAATAAACTCTTAAATATTGAGAAAATAACACTATAGTAGTGATTATTATTACTGTACTTATTAACTCTTAAAATAATGATGGCCTCAGACATTGTACAAGAGAGCAGGAAAGGAAGGCAGTAGTTCTAGGACATTCTGTACATTCTTCTTTTACCTGTGTTGGATCTAGGAGGAAGATTTCTTGTCAGTAGGATTTGGGAAATACTTACCTTCTGGTGTTTACTCTGTTCCACTCTGAAGGCCATCCCAGGAGGTTTGACTAAAAGGTGATGAGAAATCAGTGGTTTGGTTGGTAAATGTTTCCAAACTCTGGAGGTTTTCTTTTTCTTTCTTTTTGTTGTTTTTTTTTTTTTTTTTTTTTTTGTTGTTGTTGTTGTTGTTGTTGTTTTTGAGATGGAGTCTTCCTTTGTGGCCCAGGCTGTGGTGCAGTGGCACAATCTCAGCTCACAGCAACCTCTGCCTCTCGGGTTCAAGTGGTTCTCCTACCTCAGCCTCCCAAGTTGTTGGGAACCACAGGTGTGTGCCACCACACCTGGCTAATTTTTGTACTTTTAGTAGAGACAGGGTTTCTCCATGTTGGCCATGCTGGTCTTGAATTCCTGACCTCAGGTGATCCACCCACCTTGGCCTTCCAAAGTGCTAGGATTACAAGCATGAGCCACCATGCCTGGCTCTGAATTCTGAACCAGATAGTGATGATTCCAAGTATTATCTGAGGGTGATTTAAAAATGTTTTCTGAGGTATCATTAAGGCCTATGCTTCTATGGGGGCATTGCTAATATTCTCAAGATTAAAAAAAAAATAGAAGAAACTTCATGTTTGTTTCATCCTATATTCATAAAGTATCTATTACATTTATTTTTAAAATGTAAATTGGCCTTTCATGACAAACACATTGAACAACCTTGGAATAGAAGGAAATCACCTCGACATAAAAGGTCACATAAGAAAAGTCCATTTTTAACATCATAGTCTATGATGAAAAATGAAAGCCTTTCTTCTTAGGTCATAAACAAGGTAAGGATTTCCAGTCTTGCTACTTCTATTCAACATAGTGCTGGAAGTCACAGCCAGAGCAATTAGGCAAGGTAAAGAAATAAAAGGCATCCGAATTGAAAGAAAGAAGTAAAATTATCTCTGTTTGCAGATGACATGATCTTACATACAGAAAACTATAAAGATTCATTAGCTGGGTGTGGTGGTGGGCACCTGTAGTCCCAGCTACTTGGGAGGCTGAGGCAGGAGAATTGCTTGAACCCAGGACACAGAGGTTGCAGTGAGCCACTCACTTCTCCAGCCTCAGCCTCCTGAGTATCTGGGATTACAGGCACCCACCACCATGCCCAGCTAATTTTTTTTTTTTTGTATGTTTAATAGAGACAGGGTTTCACCACATTGGCTAAGCTGGTCTCAAACTCCAGACCTCAAGTGATACGCCTGCCTTGGCCTCCCAAAGCGCTGGGATATCAGGTGCCAGAGGTCACTCTAAATCTTACGGGGGGGCTATGCACGGTGGCTCATGGTGGGTGCGCCACCATGTCCCAGCTACTCGAGAGGCTGAGGTGGGAGAATTGCTTGAACCCAGGAGGCGGAGTCTGCAGTCAGCTGAGACTGCACCACTGTACTCCAGCCTGGGTGACAGGGCAAGACTCTGCTTCAAAAATAATAAAAACAAAAAAATAAAAAATTCTGCTTTCCTCTTACCTTGCTGCCTAGGTGTCCATTCTTCATCAGAATCTTCAGTGTCATCCACCTGGAGTTTGATGGCCTGCCTTCGGTGACACATGAAAGCTGGTCGAGTGGCTCTGAGACCTGAAATGAAGCAAAAAGTTTGTTCTAAAGGGAAGAGCTGGGCAGAGGAACAAAGGGCAGTAGCAATGAAAAGGACCACAAAGCCAGTGCGGCTCAGTCTGAAGAGCTGGCAGAGTCCTGAACAAGGTCAAGATGTGACTTCCGCATGGTCAGTATCCACACTCAGCCCCACACTGACACAAAAGAACACAATTTCCCTCCAGATTTGTCTTCATACAAAAGGGAACTGCGGGCAGATACCACTACCTGAGAACTGAAATGACATAGGACCAAAGACCTGTTTTGTTTCCAGGCTGGTATGGGCCTAGCACTCTGGTTACCTATAGTAATCAGTGCATTATAGTTCCTTTTCACATTCCTATAGCGAGTTTTCTCCCAGTCTCCCATCTCTGCCCATTCTTCCTTGGAGAAGTATATGGCAATGTCTTTGAAGGCATCTTTGACCTAGAGGAAGTAACAGAGTCTATCAGTGATTTACTAGTACACGTCGAGTGGGTGCTTTTCCTCTACTCTGTGTGTAGAGCTTGGCCTGGGGCCTCTGGGAGTCTCTGTGAAACATAAAGACTTTCCCTTCTTCTCCAGATTGCATCCTGTCTAACTGAGAAGACACTGAGCATTTTCCTAGCTCTCTGCTGACTGCAGAGCAGTCACTGATGCCAGTGTTCTTTTCTCTCCAGCGTCCTGGCCAGGACCAGCTGCCCCTGTTCCATGCACATGCAGACAGGGTCACCCAGGGGTACAGGCCAGGAGGCTGCAGCACTCCAGAGACCAGCTCCTGCTATGAGTCTGGCTTTGCCTCCCCGACCTCTCACCATAGGCTTCTGCTCTGTTCTCCCTGTGTCTCCTTCTGGGCTCTCCTCTTGGGACCTTTCAGGGCTCGTGGTGCTGGGACTGTCTAGAAGGCCCTGCTTCATTTCCAAGTGTAGGAAGGGCCCGATTCTCCCAGCTCCTAAGCCAAAGGCTCCTGTGGAAGGAGAAGGTGCTAAGAGAGGGCAACAGCCCTGACCACTACCCAGAACCAGGTTCTGTCTTCTTCATTTGGCTGGGGTGTTCAGAGCAGGAAGATGTGGGTTCCTGGTGAGGTCTTGAGCACCTCAGGGAGGTCTGGGGGTACTTATGGGATGGGAAGGTCTCTGGCCATGAACTACCACTTAATGTAAGCTGGATTTTGTTCTTTCAGTTCCCCTGCAGCTTGGCTTATTTGGAGAGGGGGAGCAGGGTGGCACAAGGGCCTGGAGGGTTGTAGCTATGGGTGTTTAAGGGGAGTCCTAAGGTGTGAGAGCCAGAGGAGTCCTAAGGGAAACTTGAGGCCCCCCCCGACTGCTGGGACTTGGGTCACACTGAGGAGCAGGGTTTTGTTTCAGCAAGGCAAAATGAACATTTCTCATAGATAGGATTTGGGGATCATAGAGATCCCCAAATCCTATCTATGAGAAATGTTCCTGGGGATTCAGGAAAAATCCAGGAGTAAAGCAGTAAGCATCTCTAAGGGGCAGCTATCTCTCAGGCTGAGATTTGGGGTCCCTCAGGCTGAGGGGATTTGAGGTATCTTAGGCTAAAGAAACTGGGGTTGCTGAGATTGAGGGAATTTGGGGTCTTGAGCTGAGGAGCTTTGGCATCCCTCAGGCTGACAGTTTTTGTGGTTTCTCAGAATGAGATTTGGGGTCTTTTAGGCTGAAATTTGGGGTGCTTAAGTTGACAGGATTTGAGGGGATTTGGGGTTCCTCTGGGTGAAAGGATTTGGGATCTTTGAGGCTTGGAAAGGTTAAGGAGATTTGGAGTTTCTCTGCATAAAAGAATTTGGGATCTTTGAGGCTGAGGAAATTCTCGGTTTCAGGTAAAGATTTGGGTCTCTCATTAAGGGGCTTTAGGGTCTTTGACACTGAAGTTATTTAGTCCTTGAAGCTGAAGGGATTGAGTTTTCAGGCTGAGTATTTAGGTTATCTGAGGTTGGAGAAATTTGGTCTCTCTGTGGGTGAGATATTTAGGGTTCCTCAGGCTGAGGGGTTTGGAGTGCTTTAGGGTAAGGGGAATTGTGGCTCCTCAGGCTCTGAATATTTGGGGATCTAATCATTAGGAGATTCGGTGTTCCTCTGGGTAAAGGGATTTGGGGTCTCTGAAGCTGAGGTACTTTGGGAGTTTTATGCTGAGGGGATTTTAAAGTCCCTCAAGGTGTTGCAGTGAGCCGGGATCGTGCCACTGCACTCCAGCCTGGCGACAGGGCGAGACTCCACCTAAGAAGAAAAAAGTCCCTCAAGATGACAGGATTTGGTGTCTCTGGAGGCTGAGAGGATTTGGAGCTTCTCAGGGTGTGGGGATTGGGGGTCTTCCAGGCTAAAATATGAAGGTTTCGGGCGGAGGGTTTACAAGGGTTTCACGCTGCACAGCAAAGGCTCCCCGTCCTCTTCACAGTCTCCTGTGCCCTCCTGCCGCGGTGTCCACTGTGGCCAGGCGTCCTCTCGGCGCCCCTCAGGGTGTGAGACATGGTGGAGAGCGAAGCGCCAGGCCGCAGCCCTCCATTGGGAAAAGCGGCCAATCAGCGCTGAGACCAAGGCGATCCCGCCAATCGGCAGTCAAGAGGTGCTAAAGGGGCGGGGAGTAGGGCGGAGCTTTGCCTGTCAGTCACGGGCACAACCCGGTTCCGGGCTCAGGAGGTCTGGGAGGGGCCTGGCTTTTGCGCGCGTCTGACTGGAATCGTCCAGCGCGCAGGCGCAGCTTCGCGGATTTTCGTCACTCCGTTTTCCCCAGCCCAGATGTTTGCGACTGAGCCGGGGGTCGGGGCTGCGCCTCACGTCCCTCCGCAGGCCTGGGTCTTCTGAGGGGACACGGTGTCTTTTTGGATTGCCAGAGTTCTCGCGCTGAGTCTCATGCGGGAGGGCTGGTGTTGCGTTAGCTGTGGTGTAAACTGGGTCTAGTCGGCTGCTTGGCTCCTGGCTGCGTCAGGGGCTAGGGCTCCGTCCGGGACCCTTCTGTGTGGGAACTGCGCTTCGTTTCACAGGTGCTTTATTGGCAGGTCAATGTTGGTGTTTAGTTAGGGCTGTGATCCCATAAATGGCGTGTAAGAGGAGCAGCCGCCAGGCTGATCCTCCCCTGCAAGGCTGACCCCCGCTGCAAGGCTGACCCCCGGCTGCAAGGCTGATCCCCGGCTGCAAGGCTGACCCCCGCTGCAAGGCTGACCCCCGGCTGCAAGGCTGACCCCCGGCTGTAAGGCTGACCCCTGGCTGCAAGGCTGATCCCTGCTGCAAGGCTGACTCCTAGCTGCAAGGCTGACCCCCGGCTGTAAGGCTGACCCCTGGCTGCAAGGCTGATCCCTGCTGCAAGGCTGACCCCTGGCTGCAAGGCTGACCGCCGGCTGCAAGGCTGATCCCCGGCTGTAAGGCTGATCCCCGCTTCAAGGCTGACTCCCGGCTGTAACGTTGGTCCCCGCTGCAAGGCTGACCCCCGGCTGCAAGGCTGATCCCTGGCTGCAAGGTTGATCCCTGCTGCAAGGCTGACTCCCGGCTGTAACGCTGGTCCCCGCTGCAAGGCTGACCCCCGGCTGCAAGGCTGATCCCCGGCTGCAAGGCTGATCCCCGCTGCAAGGCTGACTTCCGGCTGTAACGCTGGTC